CATTTTTTATGCTTCGCTGTGTCGATAGAGTGCCTTTCTGTGCTAAGTGTCCCAATTACCTGAGGTAGACACTCTTGGTGCACCCCCTTGTGGGCTTTGTGCACAGTCTTGTTGTAGTTAAGCCTTGATTGTTGTAGTTATCACTGTCAGGGCTTGAAGAATTTTTAAGTGCTTTGAAATTTCTGGAACAAGGGTGCTCTGTTAGCCCTTGATAACTGAACAGTCATCACTTAGTTAAAATCTGGAAAATATAGTGAGTCCCTCAGATAGAAACCCAATTATATTGGTTTATAGTTATGTGGTTTATTGGCTTAAATAGTTATGTTTATTTTTAAAATAGGACACTAGTCTCCCTTTGAGGACCTTACACTCTTCCCTACTAGATATCACTTCAATAATAGTAAGTTGATGAGTTCTTAAAGCTTATTCCTCTCAGGACAAAGTTGAATTTTAAATGTCAGAAAAGCACTTTGTAGTCATGTTATCCTTGGACCAGAGATACTCTCAGGCTACTTAATTAAAAAATATAGAAGTGATTGCCCAGCTAGCATGGCTCGGTGGTTGAACATCAACCTATGAACCAGGAGATCACAATTCGATTCCCAGTTGGGGCACATACCCTGGGTTGCAGGCTTGATCCCCAGTGCGGGATGTGCGGGAGGCAGCCGATCAATGATTCTCTCTCATCATTAATGTTTCTCTCTCTCTCTCCCTCTTTCTTCCTCTCTGAAATCAATTACAAAATATATTTTAAATAGAAGTGATTATTGTCAAAATGGTACCCAGATCTGATAAATAGTAATGATTGTTTCAATCTTACAAGGCAGTCCCAACATGGGTGAGCCAGAGCTGGAAATCAAGTGTTCTGATTCGTGGCCCAGTGACATCTCCCTCTGATTAGACCTTTCTTTGTGTTTGAGATGTCTTAATGAAAAAGGCCTGAGGTGTTTTGATGGTGGTAATTTACCTTCTTCTGTAGACAGCATGATACATATTTTGGTTCCAAGGACATAAACGTTAGAAGGTTCGACCAGATCTTTAGTTGAGAACAAGCTGTTGCTTTCCTTAAAGTCATAAGATTACAGGCAAAGGGTTTTAATTTCTGAGTCACTAACTCATCAGGCCTGGGAAGGTGAGGGAAGGGACAGGGCTGGCCCCGGGCTATGATGTCCTTCGTTCCTTCCTCTGATTCATAGGTTGCCATGAGCTGTTTCTACCTCTGTGTGAGCTTCCTGAGAACTAACACTCAGTGGACTCGTTCCAATCAGGCTCCTGGCCTCTAGTCTTTACAGAGACCACGCTGATGAAGATTTCTAAAATCTTACTTGGTCACTGCCAAACTCAAAGATTCCTATTCCCACCCCATCCTCACCCCCTCCTTGCTTTTTTCTAACTCTGCAGGCTCCCCAGCCCACTCCTGCGCCGCTGGCATCTCTGCAGGGAAAAGGCGGGTTTACCCTGAAACGAAAGGAGCTGCAGTTCAGAGCCTCCACTGGCACAGGCCCCCAAGGTTTGGGAAGACCCTAGTCAACTTTTCTTTGTAATTTTAATTTCTTTTCTTTTTGATCTTTAAAAAGATAACCTGCTACAGGGTACCACTTACAAGAGCATGACTAAAGACAGTAACTTACCCTCTATTCTAAGCATGCCCCAAGCTCTTAGAAGTGTAATAGGCCTAATTGTCATCTCTGTCTTTTA